TGAAAATGGCCATACTGCCCAAAGTAATTTACAGATTCAATGCTATCCCCATCAAGCTACCAATGACCTTCTTCGCAGAACTGGAAAAAACCACCTTAAACTTCATAGGGAACCAAAAGAGAGGCCGCATAGCCAAGTCAATTCTAAGCAAAAAGAACAAAGTGGGTGGCATCACACTACCAGACTTCAAACAATACTACAAGGCTACAGTAATCAAAACAGCATGGTACTGGTACCAAAACAGAGATATCAACTAATGGAACAGAACAGAGGTCTCGGAGGCAACACAACATATCTACAACCATCTGATCTTTGACAAACCAGACAAAAACAAGCAATGGGGAAAGGATTCCCTGTTCAATAAATGGTGTTGGGAAAGCTGGCTAGCCATGTGCAGAAAGCAGAAACTGGACCCCTTCCTGACAACTTACACTAAAATGAACTCCAGATGGATTAAAGACTTAAACATAAGACCTAACACCATAAAAACCCTAGAAGAAAATCTAGGCAAAACCATTCAGGACGTAGGTGTAGGCAAGGACTTCATGACCAAAACACCAAAGGCATTGACAACAAAAGCCAAAATAGACAAATGGGACCTTATCAAACTCCACAGCTTCTGCACAGCAAAGGAAACAATCATTAGAGTGAATCGGCAACCAACAGAATGGGAAAAAATTTTTGCAGTTTACCCATCTGACAAAGGGCTGATATCCAGAATTTACAAAGAACTAAAACAGATTTACAAGAAAAAACTAACAAGCCCATTCAAAAGTGGGCAAAGGATATGAACAGACACTTTACAAAAGAAGACATACGTGAGGCCAACAAACATATGAAAAAATGCTCATCATCACTGGTCATCAGAGAAATGCAAATCAAAACAACATTGAGATACCATCTCACGCCAGTTACAATGGCGATCATTAAAAAATCTGGAGACAACAGATGCTGGAGAGGATGTGGAGAAATAGGAACACTTTTACACTGTTGGTGGGAGTGTAAATTAGTTCAACCATTGTGGAAGACAGTGTGGCGATTCCTCAAGGACCTAGAAATAGAAATTCCATTTGACCCAGCAATCCCATTACTGGGTATATATCCAAAGGATTACAAATCGTTCTACTATAAGGACACGTGCACACGAATGTTCATTGCAGCACTGTTTACAATAGCAAAGACTTGGAACCAACCCAAATGCCCATCGATGATAGACTGGATAGGGAAAATGTGGCACATATACGCCATGGAATATTATGCAGCCATGAAAAACGATGAGTTTGTGTCCTTTGTAGGGACATGGATGAACCTGAAAACCATCATTCTCAGCAAACTGACGGAAGAACAGAAGATCAAACACCGCATGTTGTCACTCATAGGCGGGTGTTGAACAATGAGAACACATGGACATAGGGAGGGGAGCACTACACACTGGGGTCAGTTGGGGGGAAATAGGGGAGGGACGGGGGGGTGGGAAGCTGGGGAGAGTTAGCAGGGGGAGAAATGCCAGATGTAGGTGATGGGGAGGAAGGCAGCAAATCACACTGCCACGTGTGTACCTATGCAACAATCTTGCATGTTCTTCACATGTACCCCAAAACCTAAAATGCAATAAAATAAATAAATGGGAAAAAAAAAGAAAAGAAAAGAAAAAGAAATATCTAGAATATACAAATTCACAGAGGCAGTAAGCATATGAGAGGTTACCAGGGGCTGGAGAAAGGGGAAATGGGGAAGTTATTCTTTAGTGGGTACAGAGTTTTTATTTCAGATGCTGAAAAAAATTTGAAAATAGATAGTGGTTATGGTTATACACTTAAAAATATGTATATATATATAGAAAGTCTAAGCATAATTTAAAAAAAAAATATATATATATATATATATAGAGAGAGAGAGAGACCTTTATCTCTATCTCACTATATCTCTCTCTCTATTCCATCTACAGTCTAGTTGTATTCCGAAAAAAGAAGAAATTCATTTTTTTGGTGGACAGCATTCTGACATACTTTTTTATTTTTTATGTTTTTTTTTGGAAACAGAGTCTTGGTCTGTTGCCCAGGGTGGAGTGCAGTGGCACAATCTTGGCACACTGCAAACTCTACTTCCGGGTTTCAAGCAATTCTCGTCTCAGGCTCCTGAGTAGCTGGGATTATGGGCACACACCATCATGTTTGGCTAGTTTTTGTATTTTTAGTAGAGTCAGGGTTTTGTCATGTTGGTAGGGTGGTCTTGAACTCCTGGCCTCATGTGATCTGCCCACCTTGTACTCCCAAAGTGCTGGGATTACAGGTGTGAGCCACTGCGGCCTTGATATGTTTGTATAAAGAAAAGTCACAGAGGCAATGAACTTTATTCTGAGCACTGCTTCAGCACTTTAAGTTCTAGTGTGAGGTGGCTTTTTTTTTTTTTTTTTTTTTTTTTTGAGACAGAGTTTTGCTCTTGTTGCCCAGGCTGGAGTGCAATGGCATGATCTCGGCTTACTGCAACCTCTGCCTCCCAGGTTCAATCGATTCTCCTGCCTCAGCCTCCTGAATAGCTGGAATTAACAGGCATGCGCCACTATGCCTGGCTAATTTTGTACTTTTATTAGAGACAGGGTTTCACCATGTTGGCCAGGCTGGTCTCAAAATCTGATCTCAGGCGATCTGCCTGCCTCAGCCTTCCAAAGTGCTGGGGTTGCAGGCGTGAGCCACTGCGCCCAGACCTACTATGAGTTATTTTCATTACCATTAGATCCTAGATATACAGTAGGATGGGTTTTTTAAAAATTTCCAGGTGGTAGAGTTTCTAAAAAAAAGATTCCATTATTAATTTCTAGTTTTTGCATTGTGATCAGGTGATGTTGTCTGTTTTATTTACATGTCTTGGAATTTATTCAGGTCTTCCTTGACATCAATTTTGTAAAAATGTAAAAGGCACATGAAAACATGATATATTTTCTGTTCTCATGATACACAGTATATTTTCAGGCTACAGAGTTTATTTCCATTAAATCTTCTATAATACGTATTTTATTTAGGTTTTCTCTATCCCTACTTTTTTTTTGTTTTTATTCATTTAAATGGCTATCATAGACTAAGAGAAGTAAATTAAATTTTATGTGTTTATGTTCTTCCTTATAATTCCTATAATTTTATACTAAAACTGTTAAAGACATAATACATAGCAAAAACAAAGTGATATACCAATAATTTCTAAATGTTGGAAAACAGAATTCATCAACATATTAAATTAACATACCATCACCAAATAGGGTTTATTCCAGAAATGAAATGATGACTTAATTTTATAAAATCTATTATTATAATTAAATATATTAATAGTTCAAAAGGGAAAATATGATTATCTCCATAAAGTCTGAAAAAGCATATAATTCAATTGAATATCCATTGATTTTAACAAATTCTGAAACAGGGACAGAAAAACACACTGTAAAAGTTTCAGTCTAAACCTAAAAGCCAATACCAAATTTAATGAGGAAACAATATAATATCAAGATATTATATAACTTCCAAAGGCTTACTACTATTTAGATTTTAGATTATTTTATTTTTATTTATTTATTTATTTTGAGACGGAGTTTCACTCTTGTTGCCCAGGCTGAAGTGCAATGGCACCATCACGGCTCACCGCAACATCCACCTCCGGGGGTTCAAGCGATTCTCCTGCCTCAGCCTCCTGACTAGCTGTGATTACAGGCATGTGCCACCATGCCTGGTTAATTTTGCACTTTCAGTAGAGACAGGGTTTTTCCATGTTGGTCAGGCTGGTTTCGAACTCCTGACCTCAGGTAATCTGCCTGCCTCGGCCTCCCAAAGTGCTGGGATTACAGGCATGAGCCACTGCACCCAGCCTATTTAGATAATTTTATAACAAAATATTACCAGTATCTGATATCTTGATTGTGATTTGGAAGACTAGCCTACATTCAGTTAAACTTAAAGCTTGATTAAATTAGACATTAAATTTAGTGATCTAAGATCAATAATATTATGTTGAACAATAATAAAATATTTAATGCTATGCTTTCATATAAAGCAAAGTAAAAAATATTCTTATTCTAAATAGTGTGTTACGGAGTCAATACTGATAGAGTGGCGAAAAATCAGTTCTTAGAGGATCACTTGGGCCAGGGGTGGTGGCTCACACCTGTAATCCTTTGGGAGGCCGAGATGGGCAGATCACTTGAGGTCAGGAGATTGAAACCAATCTGGCCAATATGGTGAAACTCTATCTCTACCAAAAAATACAAAAATTTAGCCAGGTGTTGTGGTGAATGCCTGTATTCTCAGCCACTCGGGAGGCTGGGGTGGGGAAATTGCTTGAACTCAGGAGGCAGAGGTTGCAATGAGCCAAGATGATGTCACTGCACTCCAGCCTGGGAGACACAGTGAGACCCTGTCTCAGAAAAACAACAACAAAAAACATTTGACTGGTTATCAAGTACTGCAGTGGCACAAATTTCTAGTGATGAAAGACTTGTTTATTTAGATTCTAAGCTCCTTTCAAACTGTGTTACGAAACTTTCAGTTCCCACTGTACCTGCTTCTTTCAGCAAATTCCAGATCTCATTGCATTTATGGATCTCCTCAAGCGCACGGCTCAGGAACATGGTCTGTTTGGCAACAATGCAACAAAATAATTAGTCTCAACAGAAAAGAACTGTAAGCAAATTAATATAATCTCATATTATTTTCATTAAAAACAGTTAAAAAAATCATAGAAAAATGATAGTTTAAACTGAACATTTTGGAGTTTATATAGAAATATTAGCCTCTATTTGCCCCTTTCCTTATTGTCCCAGAAAAATGAGGATTAAATAGAAAATTTTCAGCATTACCAATTTCTTTAACAATCTAGAACAGAAGAGAAAACATTTCTAGAATGGTGGTGTGAGGAGCTCCAAGGGTCTTCTCCTCAGCAAAACAATCACCATAACTAGTGAAAATTAGAAAACATAATAATGTAAAGGCTCAGGAAATTATCCTGAGGGTATAGAGAAAATGAAGAAACATTTATTCCAGGAAATCTGCTGCCTGTTAGTAAGGACAGTAAGAGCCTGTGACACTTAAGCCATGATTCACTCACCATCCACCAGCTCAGTGTCATGTAAGCACTACTTTAGGTGGGTGTGACCAAGAAGATGGGACTTTCTCTACCTCCAATTTCTGGGCTAGGGATTCTCTGGAGGGCCAGACTGCTGGCACTTCTCATCGCCCCAGGTCTGTATTGTAGAAGCTCTATTATAAACAAGCACAGCTCAGATGCCTAGAGCTCTCTTTCTCTACCCAGCCCCTATTTGTAAGGCAAAGCTCTATCCTAGGCATTGCAAGTTCAGGATACTGGGTCTCAATTGCTCTCATCTCAGTTGCTTATAGGGTACAGTGTCCATGCTAGGAGCAGAAAGCCAAGAATATCAGGGACTACAACACTTGCCCAGTCTTCCACTCATACAATTGGATTGTGACTGAAAGAAATGGGTCACTGTCCATGCCCCTAGCTCCAAAACAGTGGTTCTGTTTCTGCCCAGTAGGAGAGGCAGATAATTAGAAGAGTGAGCTCTACAGCACTCTCTAAAGGAAATGACTTTAATTGGAATAGAGCCTGGGAAAGTTCAAGTCTAAGGACACTGTAAAAAATCATGGAGATTTTGGTAGTGGGCAATTAAGAGGAGATTGGTAGTTCAATGGTATTAAGAAAAAAATAATAGATCAGCTAGAAGTTTATAGAGAGAAGTACATGAAGAGACAGCTAAGAAGATACCTATTCCTTCAAAGGGGACTTATTTTAATTGGAACAGGCTGTAGGGCAATTTATGCACAAGAGTATTTTCACACACACACACACACACACACACACACACACACACACACACACACAGAGTAATCACCTAGCAATTAGTCAAGACTAACAGCTGGATGTGCTACCAATAGAAGAAGGCCATCTAGAAGCTTAAGAGGTCAGATCAGGAAAAGAGTAATAAAGAATCCTCCTAAAATCACTGTCATCCATTACCAGAGGGAGGGGTAAGCATGACTTCACAGGCAAAGACAGTGCCTTCCTAGGAGTGACATCAGAGTCTATGTACTATGGGGAAAATAGGCTTCACTATTTCCCTACAGCTAATTCACTAAACAAATAAAGAAGCAAAAATTAACATCCACAAACCCCATGGGGAGATCAGTACCCAAAGATACAATGTACTGTCTAAAACATCCAGTTTTCAACAGAAAATTACAAGATATGCAAAAAGACAGGAAAGTGTCACATCTACATAGGAAAAAAGCAGGTAAAAGAAACTGACTTTGAAAAGGCCCAGATGCTAAACTTAATAGACACAGAATTCAAATAAGCTATTTCAAGTATGTTCAAATAACTAAATGAAACCACACTTATGAACAGTATGACAAAAATGTTCAACAAAAATGACCTCAATAAAAGGATAAAAATTATAAAAATCAGACGGAAATTCTGGAGTTGAAAATAACAATAACTGAAATTTAAAAACTCATTAGAGGGCATCAACATTAGGTTTGACTTAGGAGAAGAAGCAATCAGCAAAAATGAAGATAGATCAGTAGAGATTATGAAATATGAGAGCAGGATGAAAAAGAAGAAAAATAAATGAAGCCTCAGAAAGACATGGGACACCATTAGGCTCACTACCTAGCATACCCATAATGAGATTACCAAAAAAAATAGGAGAGAAAAACAGAAAAAAATATTTTAAATGAATGGCTGAAAATCCCCTAATTTTGATAAAAAACAATAATCTACACATTCAAGAAGCCCCCAAAACTCTAGGCAGGATCAAGAAAGATATCCAACCCAGATACATTACAAAATGGTAAAAGACAAAGAAAAATTTGAAAGTAGCAAGAGACACATGAATTGCCACATATAAGGGTGATTAAAATTAATAGCTGACTTCTCATTAAAAATAATAAAGGCCAGAAGGCAGTGGGACAACATATTCAAAGTGGTCAGAGAAAAATAATAGTATACGAATAGTCTAGTATCTACCAAAATTATTATCCAGAGAAGGTGAAACAAAGATATCCCTGGATAAACAAGAGCTGAGAGAATTTGTTGCTAAGAAACAGTCTTTCAGGTTGAAAAGCAAGTAATGCCAGACAGTAATTTGAATACAGATGAAAAACAAAGAGCACTGGTAACATTAATTACATAATTATAAAAGATAATATTAATAAAGTATATATTTCTTCTTAAAAACTATACACACACACACACACATGAACACATATTTGTATTGTTGGGCCTCTGACATATAGAAATGAAATCTATTTGACAACAATAGCACAAGAGGCAGATGGGAAGAAAGCTGTTTTGAAGTAAGAAAATGAGACTGATATGGTTTGGCTGTGTCCCCATCTGAATCTCATCTTGAATTGTAGTTCCCATAATCCCCATGTGTGATGAAAGGGACCCAGTGGGAGGTAACTGAATCATGGGGGCAGTTTCCCCCATGCTATTCTCATGATAGTAAGTTTTCACAAGATTTGATGGTTTTGTAATGGGCATCCCACTTCACTCAGCTTTCTTTCTGAGTGAAGCTTTTCTTTCTTTCTTTCTTTCTCTCCTGCCACCCTGTGAAGAGGTGTCTTCCACCATGATTCTAAGTTTCCTGAGGTCTCCCAAGCCATGTGGAACTATGAGTCAATTAAACCTCTTTCCTTTATAAATTACCCAGTCTCAGGTATTTCTTCATAGCAGTGTGAGAATAGACTAATCCAGAGACCATATGGTAATTCTAATCTACAGGAAAAAATGAGGAGAAGTATAAAACGTAAGTAAGATGGTTAATATAAGAAACCATGATACATACTTTCTTCTCTAAATTTCTTTTTTTTTTTTTTTTGAGATGAAGTCTCACTCTGTCACCCAGGCTGGAGTGCAGTGGCACAATCTTGGATCACTGCAACCTTCACCTCCTGGGTTCAAGTGATTCTCCTGCCTTAGCTTCCCAAGTAGCTGGGATTGTAGGTACCTGTCACTATGCCCAGCTAATTGTTTTTGTATTTTTAGTAGAGACAGGGTTTCACCGTGTTGTCCAGGCTAGTTTTGAACTTCTGACCTCAAGTGATCTGCCCACCTTGGCCTCCCAAAGTGCTAGGATTATAGGTGTGAGCCACCATGCCCGGTCTCTTCTCTGAGTTTCTTTAAAAGACACAAAACTCTATAAAGGGCTACTATAAATGTATTATTGTGTTTGGAGCATATATTGATGTAATATTCATAACAAAATAGCATAAATAGAGGAGAGAACAGAGCTAATAGAAATAGCATTTCTATATCTCACTGAAATCGGGTTTATAATCTGATGCCAATTCTGATAAGTTAAGATCTATATTGTAAGCCCTAGAGTGACCACTAAGAAAATAATTCAAATACCTTGTAAAAATCATTAAAAGAATAAAAATGGGAGGAAGATCCAAGATGGCCGTTTAGGAACAGCTAAGGTTTGCAGCTCCCAGTGAAAGTGCAGAGGGTGAGTGGACAACGCATTTCCAGACGGATTTTTATTGCCCACAGACCAGGAGATTCCCAGGTGGAGGAAACCCACGGGTCGCCAGCTGGCTGTTTTGGCCGGTGCGGCTGTGCGGCTTCTTTGCTGGCGCCCTGGCGCGGCGGTTCTCCATACAAAATACACTGGTCCAGGTGCCCTTTTAGCTGGGGATTGGAGCCCAGGGAAGTCGCCCATTCATCTGATTAAAAAGGGGACTGAACAGGGAGCCAGGTCAGGAGATTTCTGGGCAAAAAAAAGTGCAACGAATCTCAGCACCGCTGTTTAAGCTGGCACAGTGAGTCGCTGCATGGGAAATCACAGAGATCCTGGCGCCCTTTCAACAGGCGACTGGAACACCTGGGAGAGAGTCAACTGTTCAACTAAAAAAAAAAAAAAAAAAAAAAAAAAAGGCTCTGAGGCAGGGAGCCAGGTGATCAGGCTCGGCTGGTCCCACCCCCACAAAAAAACAGCAATCAGAAACTCTCTGGATTGAGGGTTTCACAGCAAGCACGGCTGAACCCAGGAAGGTCCAGCTCTGTGGGGGAGGGGCATCCGCCATTACCAAGGCACTCCACCACTACGGAGGTACTCTGCCATTGCTGGGGCAGCCTGTCGTTGCCAAGGCAACCTGCCATACAGGGAGAGTCCACCAATACAGAGGTGGGCCACCATTGCCGAGGCAGTTTTAACTACACTCATATAAACAGGACTGCAGGGAAGTTCACATGGCAGGTGGGCAGAGCTCACAGCAGCTCAGCAAGGCCTCCTTGCTGGGCAGGGCAGCCCTGAAAAAAAAGGCAGCAGCACAACGGAAACTCATAAATAAAGCCCTAACTCTCTGGGACAGAGCACCTGGGAACAAAAAGCGGTTTATGAGTTCTGCTGCAGCAGACCTAAACATACCTGCCCAGCAGCTCTGAATGAACATCGGAGCTCACAGCTCAGCACTTGAGCTCCTATAAAGGACAGACTGTCTCGTCAAGCAGCTCCCTGACCCCCGTATATCTAAAGAGTCTCCTCATAAAGGAGAGATCAGACTGACATTTGGCGGGTATCATTCTGGGGCAAAGATAGCAGAAGAAGAAACT